TGATAGGTTTCTGGGTCATTGGGGACTTGTACTTGAAAGATGGTGTTCATTGGAGGGTTGCTTATTTAAACTGAATTTGCCCTAGCTTCACTCCTGCCAGCCTGCTTTGTGAATGTTTCCTCACACCTGCTGTGCCATTGCGACCTTCCTTCAGTTGCCAGGCTAATGAGGTTACCTGACCTCGAACTGAAAACCTCCAACTTTCAGCTGAAATAAATGGCTTCCTTCCCAAGAAGCTCCTCTCAGGTACTTTAGATAAAGCAACAAAACTATGACTAATACATGTACCTTCCTGGGTTCCACAGCTTTAGGACTTGGACTGAGTTACCTTACTCTCATCCCAGGATGCCCAGCCTATAGGCAGAATGCTGTGGGGAAGTTTCAACCAACGTGTGTGAGCCAATCCCATGAAAACAGCTCCTCTCACATCTATTCCTCTTTGTGTTCAGTGATGTCTTCCTGAGAATGTAGTGTCTATCAACACAAGGATAGTTAAACAAATTGTGGTACAATTAAACAAATATGTGGAATACTATTGAAAAACAGAACAAAGAAACAAAGCCAAAATACTGGTACACACAACTGACACTTGAGTAAATCTCTAGGGATCTCTGGTGGCTGAGAAAAGCTGACATCAAAATCTTACACGTTATGGCACGTACGTTATATTTTTGAAATGACAAATTAAAGAAACATAGAAAAAAATTATAGATTCCAGTGGTGGCTGAGCAAAGGAAGTAGCAATGTTTTAAATGGGTAAGATGGGATTTACTTGGGATAGGTCCATTCACAGTGGTAGTCGTTGAAAATCTGAATGACATAAATGAATTGTGCCAATATCCATATCTGGATATGACTGCTAAATTAATCCAAGAAGTTATTATTGGAGAAACACAGTGAAGGGAATAAATGGATCTGAATTTTCTTTACAACTGCCTGCAAATCTACAAATATCTGAGAACCTGAAATTAAAACAAATTTTCAATGCTGATTTTCCCAAATTCTTAACCATATGATAAAATTAAAATACATTATATATGTGAAGTATGCATAATGCCTCTAAGAGGCAGCACACAAACGCTTGGGTCCCTCTCACCCAGAGGGAACACAACCACAACATTAAGTTCTGGACTTCTGACTTCGACTTGGCTCAGCAATTATTACTGTGGGTACCGAGAGAGTAGACAAGACAATGCAAAAATCTCTGCTCCCTCCCCTTCCTCTCTCTTCGCTTTTTCCTATCTTTCTCCAGTCCTCCCCACCTTCTTCTGTTACTCTGCCTTTCAAATAAATTAATTGCATTTTTAGAAAGAAATGTAGTATCACTTTACACGAAATAGGTGTTTTCCAAAATATTATGCTAAGTGACAGAAGCCAGATAAAAATATGTGCATACTCTAATTCCATTTATCTAAACTGTTAGAAAATATAAGCTTATATGCAAACACAGAAAGCAGATGAGTGGGAGTTTGGGGATGGACAGAGTCTAAGGAAGAAGTGGAATGAAAGAATAGAACGGTCTAAAAACTTTTATGGTTATGGATTATGTTTTTATTGTAATTGAAGTGGTGTTTTTCAGCTTTGTGTGTATGTGTATATTGCACATTTCAATATTTATTATATGCTAACTCTGTTACTATAAAGATATAAGAAACAAAGCCAGAGGAAGGAAGATAAATCTGTGTCTCTTTATGTTCCTCTGCCTTTGAAACATACAGGTTTATTTAAAAAGCCAGATCAAATGCTATTTGAAGAAAGAATGTGCTTCTCACTAATGGCAGAACTGGTGTGTTGAAGAGAACACATTTTTCAACATACCTGTTTTGTGAAACAATTGATATTCCATAATTCCATCCGGGAGAGCCAGGTTTAAAGCCTAGTCTCCATTTCTGATGCCAACTTCCGGTTAATGTGCTCTCTGAGGCAGCAGGTGATGAATGGTTCATGTAATTGATTTCCTGTCACCCACTTAAGAGATAATGGGTGGGATCCTGGATTCAGACTTCAGCCTGCCCAAATACTAGTCATTTCAGGCACTGGGAATACAGCAGTGCTTGGGAGCTCTCTCCTTTTGATTCTCTGCCTTTAAAATGAATTAGGTTTTTTTCTTGTAAAGCAATAGTAAATTTTCAATAATATTCATGAATAGAAACAAGAAATACTAATTATCAGAAAAATAGCATAGCATAAACTCTTTATATGAAGTATTTTATATAAAACCATGACAGTAAAAAATATGAGAGAACTTAAAGGATGCCAGAAACTCTGCCATAGGTACAATTTAATCAGCTAATAAATCATCCTATTGGTTTACTATTTTCTGTTGCACTAAAATAAACATTGAATAACTAAAGAATAAAGTTCAGCTATAAAGATAGTTTAATTTCATAAAAATATTTTAAATAAGCTATAATTTTAATTTCTCAAATAGTTACACCTTGCTATTTGCATATTATTTGACTGATTTAAGCATTAGTATAAAATATACACCTGAAGTACATGACAAAAATACCATAGCCTCACACACTTACTTGTGAAAGAAACAGCAGTCATCGTATCTGTAACAGTAGAACAAGAAATTCCCTCTATTCACTTTTGTAACACAAAAATTGTTAGAGGACAAGTACTTAAAATGTGCTGGATCTTGCATTACACACTCATGTGAAGCATGGACAACTTATTGACCAGAGGGGGGGAAAAAAGTTCGTCAAGCAGTGTGCTCCAGTTTCAATATGATTTATTAGCAGCAAAATTTGTATTGAGGCCTGGTGCCTAATGCAGCAGTAATGAGAAATAGGGACCTTTAAGAGTGGAGCTTAGTAGGCAGTGATTCAGTCAGGCTCATGATTACCAAAGGTTTCACTTTGATTTCTTAGTGTTTCATTAGAGTATGTTAATTCCCATGGAGAAATTATTTATTTATTTATTTATTTATTTCAAGAGGAGAGAGAGTGAGAAAGAAAGAGAGAAGAAAGGGGTGAAGGCAGGAAAGAAGAGAGCTATTTTGTATCTGCTCGTTCATTTCCCCAATACCTACACTTGGACCATCTTCAGCTGCTTTCCCAGATACATTAACAGGGAGCTGGACCTTAAGTGTAACAGCTGGGACTACACTGAGTATTCCCACCGTGGATGGAAGGTTTTCAACAAATGGGGCCATCTTCTAACAGTTTGCCTTGGCAGAGTACCAGGGAGCTGAATTTGTTATGGAGAAGCCAGCACTCAAAGTAGGGCTCAAATGGGATACTAGCATACCTGGTTACAGCTTAACCTGCTGTGTACTAGAACACTTGCCCAAAATCAACCTCTGTAGACTGTGTTATATAAATATTTTTCTTCTTATAAGGGTATCAGCAATGTACAGCACATGGTGGGTGGAGATGATAAGTACCATTGTGAGGAAGGTGGCCTGCAGGGGAGCATAATGCCTATTTTTGTCATGGCCATACTACCTGTGCACTGTGTGACATAGGGATTTTTGAAACATACATGGGAAATTGATGTTCTTCGTCCTATATCAAAATACACAGAAAAACATCAAATATTTTTGACTGAAGTATATTTGAATGAAATACCCTTCATTCAAAAGGAAGAAGCTGGGCCTGGATACTAGTGTAGAAGCTTAAGCTGCTGCTTCTGATGCTAGCATCCCATATGGACAACTGTACAAGTACTGCTGTTCCTCTTACAATTCAGCTGGCACCTGCTGTCAGATGGAATGTAGTAGAAGTTGTCTCAGCATCGAAGCTCCAGTATCCACATTGGAGACTTAAATGGATCTTGCACATGCTGGCTTTAGCGTGGCCATCATCACCATTCAGTGAGTAGCATTTCTATTTGTTTATTTATTTATTTAAATGTACTTAACAGAAAGATTTACAGAGGAAAGGTGAGACAGAGAGAAAGATCTTCTGTTCGCTGTTTCACTCCCCAAGTGACTAAAATGGCCAGAGCTGAGCTGATCAGACGTTTCTTCCTGGTCTCCCACATGGGTTCAGGGTCACAAGGCTTTGAGCCATCTTCTACTGCTTTCCCAGACCACAAGAAGGGGCTGGAAGGGAAGCAAAGAGCTAGGACACGAATCAGCACACATATGAGATCCCAGCACATTCAAGGCAAGAATATAGCCACTGAGCCATCGTGCTGGGCCCAGAAATCTTTGCCCCAGTCTATAGCTCTGCCTTTCAAATAAATTAATAAATGAATAAATATTTTTGTTTTAAATTTGCATTTATCTATTATCAGATAGGCAGACAGTAAAACTAGATCTTCCATTCTTTTGTTCAGTCCTGAAATGATGCCAAAACTAGGGTGAGTCAAGGCCATAACTAGGAGGCATTCACTCATTCTGAGCTTCTGAAATGTATAATTGGGACACAATAGCTAAAAGGGCCACATTTAGCAGGAAACTGGAAATGAGAACACAGCCAGAAATCAAACCCAATCATTATGTTATGGCATGAAGTAATCTTAACGGCAGTCTCATCCACAGCACCAAACCCCTGCCCCCAACTCCACGATTCATACATTGCCTATCAGTGTGGGATTGGTGGCTCCCATTTACCATTGTGCTAGGCCTTCGAGTGCTGTTGGGAGCTTTTACATAGGGTGGCCATTTTTATCCTTATATGGGCATTCAACAGTGTACAGCACATGGTGTGTGGGTGTAATGGGTACCATTGTGAGGTAGGTGACATTCTAGTTACTGTTGCCTTTTGGGGGGGCATAGTAACATACCTGTCTGTTCCATATTGTAAGGGTTCCCCAAATGTACCAGGACTGGTACATTTTAATATCTAAGCTACTTCTTCATATTCCCAGCAGCTACTTCAATTTCCTTCCCCATATATGGAGTTGTCAACCATATTGCTTTGTGATGTCTTCGCACCTCAGTTGCCCATATTTGGTAAGTGTGTACCTGGCTGAGCAACCAAGCATGAGGGGTGGCGCCCCTCATTGTCTGCTGAGGGTATATATAGGAAGATCATAAGCTTCGGATACCTGGATACCTTCAACATGGGTAAAGCAGTAAAGAAGATAGATGTTCCTGATATAGATATGGAACAGCCAGCATCAAGCTCAAAAAACAAAAGGAAAACTCCATGTCAGTCCAAATCCAAAGGTTCTAAGAAGGTAAGATTACTCTAAATAAGTTCTTCCACTTTTCCCACTAATTTCCTTTCCCTCAGCATTCCTGCTATTTCCTTGCCTGGCAAAGTCCCCATCCTCAATCCATACATTTCTCATGAAGCCCCCCTACCCACATATATCTTCTCTTTCCTCCTGGCTTCTCTGTTGTCATTTCAGGTTCCAAAAACCACAACAAAGGGGAGAACAATTCAGGGAAGTGCAAGCAAGAAAGTTTCAGAGAAAACCGCCACGTCTGTGAAAAAGACTAAGAAAGCCAAAGGAACTATTCTATTTGGCCACTATCATCGGCTGAATGAGAAACTCAGTAAAAGTGAGACTAAAGAAGAAAAGAAGGCGGATAACTCTACAAATTCAAGTGATGGCCAGGATAACTGAGTTGAAAAATATTTGCTAATGTTACATGGCCAGTCATGTAAACATTGGATTTTCCACCAATACGATGGTGATATAAATAAAAAGAAATCCAATGTGAAAGAGTTGTTTCTTGTGGACTTTGTGATGGTGGGGAAGGAATGAATGGAGAAAGCATGTGCGTGACAAGGGAGAGAAATCAGTTCTGAATGATTGAGCCTTATTGGACCAAGGGGTCTACAGTTAGGAGATAGAAAATAAGGACTGAGTGAGGATGTAACACAGAGTTTCTCATTTTTACAACTTATAACCATTTGAAAGTTCCCAGTGTTGGGAGAGAGGAACTGAGAGACATCCCCGATTTCCCAAGCAAAATAACTCCAATGACCACGGCTGGGTCAAGGCAGAAGCCAGGAGCCTGAAACCCCTTCCAGATTGTCCATGTGAGAGGCACAGGCTCAACTATTTGGGACATATTTGTGCTGTTTTCTAAGGCACATTGCCAGGGAAATGTAGAAGTACCACAATTGGGAGTGAAACAGGTGCTCAAATGTGATGTTGGCATCCGAAGTAGTGGCTTTACCCACTGTAAACTAGCATTGACCCAGGAGTTCCTTCCTTATATCCTGAAAGCAAGGAAGAAAGGAACTTTATTTTCTTGTGTATGTTTAAGGAAAAGGAGAAAGGCATGATGAAACTTTCTAGTACTGCGTAATGTGTGGTGCAAGGGCAGTATTGCCATGCCCCAGATGGGCAGCCTACTCCCCTGTAAGGCCTCCTATCTCACAATGGTCTATATTACACTCACCCACCATGTGCTTGTACACTGCTGAATGCCCTTATAAGGACAAAAATGGTCACCCTGCTGAAAATTACCAACAGTATCTAAAAGACTAAGGCCTTAGGGAATGGAAGCCACAAATCCGACACTGTTTTGACCACTTGTGAACTGAAAGGTAGATGCAGGAGTCTGGTGTTACAGATGACTTCTATGGTGATGATTCCATTCCGTGTCAGAATGCCTGCATTTGAGTCCTGGCTATGTTCTCATTTCCAGTTTCCTGCTGAAGTGTGTCCTGGAAAGTAGTAGGGGATATTTGAGTAGCTGTGTCCCTGTTATCCATGTGGGAGATCCACCTTGAATACCTGGCTCCTGGCTTTGGCCTCAAGTAGTCCTGGCTGTTGTACTTTTTGTGGGGAGTAAACCAGAGGGTGGAAGATCTCTGTTTCCCTCAATTTCTATCTGCATGCCTTTCTGACTTTCAAACATAATTAAAGCAGATAAATGAGACTTTTCAAAGTTTTTTTTTTTTAATTTGAAACATAGAGCTACAGACAAGAGGAAAGATTTTTTTACTGAATGGCAGCAATAGTTGGGGACCAACCCATACCCATACAGTATGCCAGAATCAGAAACAGGAGCTTGAGTTACTGTACCAGGACATAGGCTCCAAACTTCCTCCTTGTATTACCATGTAAAGAATTCAGGAAGGGACTGGCTGTTTCTGTGTACATTACAGCAGATGGTTATGGGCATCACTTCAGGACTATGTTTTCAGACCCCTATGGCATGCAGTGCATGGACAGTATGCCATGCTGAAAATAGGCAACATAATCCCCTGCAGGCTTGTTACTTCACAGTGGTACTTGTTATACCAATCCACCATGTGCTGTACACTGTTGAATGCACTAAGAAGGGCAAAACTTGTCACCCTACTAAAAGTTGCCAACAGCACCCCATGAACTAAGACATTGGGAAATGGAAGCCACAAATCCGACGCTGATTAGTTAAGAGCAGTGTGGGGTAGATCTTTAGAACAAGGAGTGATACACTGCTTAGAATGCTTCCATTCCAATACAGAATGTCATGTTTGGTTTCCAGCACCACCATCAATTCCACAGTCTTGCCTATGTGCCTCTGGGAGGCAACAGGGAAAAGTTTGAGTAGTTCAGTTCTGGAGCTCCACTGTGTTCCCAACCCTTGACTTTAGCCTTGGTTAGTCCTGGCTGCTAGAACCACTGGGGAGTGACTCAGCAGAAGGAAGATTCACTTGCTTTTCTTTCAATCTCTATTTTTCTGCCTTTCAAAAATATATTTTAAAAATATTTATCTGAAAGGTGGAGCTACAGAGAGGAGAGAGAGAGATGTTCCATCAGGTGGCTCACATTTCAAATGGCCACAATGACAATGACCTGGAATGCAATTTTGTCCTCCACGTAGATGGCAGAAAGCTCACTATTTGGGCCACCTTCTGTTGGCTTTTCTGACATTTAAGCACGTAGCCAGATTGGAAGTAAAGAAACGAGGACTCAAATCAGTGCTCATATGCGGTGCCAGCTTTGTAAGCAACAGTTTAACCTGTTGTTGCCAACACACCGGGAGCCTAACTAATACAGCCATCCTCTGCTCTTTCCCCAGGCACTTTAACAGAGAGATGAGTTGGAAGTAGAGCAGCTAAGAATCAAATGGGTACTTATATGGGGTGCTGGCATCACAGGTTGTGGTACGACCCACTGTACCACAAGAGTGTCTCTAACACTTCCTTTTATAGTTTAGTCTTTTAACAAGGAACAAAATAACTTGGTGTTTCTGTGTACTATAAGCACAGGGTGAGGTACCAACAATTTCACAGTATTACTTCCAAAACCCCCATCACATGTACTGCAAGCTCAGGATTTCTATGTCCAAAATAGCAATAAAATCGCCTGTAGGCCACCTACCTCGTAGTGGTATGTATTAAACCCTCCTACCACATGTTATACACCACCAATTGTCCTTACAAAGGCAAAAATGGCCACCTTACTAACATTTACCAACTGCACCCTGAGGACTGAAACAATGGTTGATGGAAGGCTGCTGTGATGCATTTGGCATTTGGTGGGCATAGCCTGCCTAGAAACTGTGAGGTTCCTAGTAAGCCTACCGCCAGACAGTGCTGGTATCAACCATCAGCTTGGCTCTTTGCCAGCCAGCTCCAAACAGTCGCTTCTTTATGCAGTTGATACAGTGTGCCAAGCACTTGTGAGGAACCTAACTTGCTCACTCCTAGATTGGTGTGTTAGTGCACCATGGGTATGTCCTTGCTTAGAGCCTCAGTATTGAGCTCTTGGGCTACAGGTACAGCTAGCCTAGGATTGATGAGGCTCTTTGCATGCTTGCTTTAAGACCGATGCTTTTGTGTGTCATCTGTAGTGTCTGCCTAGGAGCCATAAGGCCCCTGGCCTGCCTGCTCCAAGACTGGCATCTTGGCATGCCATCGGTATAGTCTAAACACATCATGCTGTGGGTCTTCCACTCCCAGATGAGCACTCTGATGCACAATGAGCGTCAGTTGCCCATTCTAGTCAGGTCCCTGGTCTGCCTGCTCCCAGAACTATGCTTTACTGCTGCACATGTGCAGCCTGCCCAGGACTCATGAGAACCTTATCTTTCCCTGATCCTATCAGCGTGTAGTGTACAGGTGCTGTTGGTCTAGGGCTCCAGCATCGGGCTCCTGATCCGCTACTCCTAGATTGGCACTTTGACACAGCATGGGTACAGCCTGCCTAGGGTCCATGAGGCCTGTGGCCTGCCCACTCCCATACCAGCACTCTTGTGTGCTGTGAGTACAGTCTGTCTAGGACTCTGAGGTCCATAGCTTACCCACTCCTAGATCAATATGTTGGTGTGGCATGGGTGCCACTTGCCTAAGTCCCCACATCAGACACTGAGACTGCCTCATGCATTTGTGCACCATGTGTGCAGCAAGACGGGGACCAGAGGCCTCTAGACAGCCTGCTCCCAGACTAGCAATTTAAACCCCCTAGAAACAGCCAGCTTAAGGCCCCAGGAACAGGCCTCTGGTGTGCTGCAGGCATGGCCTGCCTTAGATCCATGGGGTCTTTGGCCTGCATGCTCCCAAACGGGACTGTTTTTCCACAGTTGTGGCCTCTTTAGGGCCCAACGTCATGCCCCATTATGCGATTCCCAGATGGCTGCTTTGGCACACTACAGGTAGGGTCTGCCTTGTACCCGTGAGGCCTCTAGCCTGCCAGTTCCCATACTCACACATTGGTTTGCCAAGGGAGAGACCTGCCTAGAGTGACGGCTGCCAGAACCCTGGTCTGCCACACTTAGACCAATGTTTCGTCCTGCCTTGGGCACAGCCTCCCTAGGCCCTATGAGGCACATGAACTGCCACTTTTATATCATCCCTTCTGTGTGCTGTGAACGTGGCCTATTCCCAGTTCCCAAATCAGCACACACATGCACAGTGAATGAGGCTCCTAGTCGGCTGCTCCAGAGCCTTGCTCCAAAGCATTAAAGGTGGAGCATATCTTGGTGCCCTGGCCAACCTGCTTTCAAATTGTTGCTCTTGCGCCCCATGGATGCATCCCTATCTATGATTCCAAGGACCCAGGTTTGCCTGTTCTGAGATCATTATATCTACATGCCATGGGTGCTCCATGTCTAAGGCCCCAGCATCATATCCCTGGCCTGCCCACCTCAGACCTGCATGCTGGCACATGCAGGACCTGCCTAGAAACCTTGAGGCCCCTGATCTGTCACTCCCAGAAAAATTCTATGGCACATGATGGGTGTGGCCTGCTTTGGACCCGTCGGACACTTTGCTTTGTCACTACCAGACATGTGCTTTGTGGTACCATGGGGGCAGATAGCCTAGGGCTTCAGCATCAGCTCTTCGGACTGCAGCTCCCAGGCTAGCATTTGGCATGTTGCATATATAGCCTGCTTAGAAATCACGAGACCCCCTAGACCCCCTAAGACCCCCTGCTCTTAGCCTAGTGATTCGGTGCACAGTGGGTATGATCTAAGAACCTAACATCAGACCAATGGCCTGCCCATTTCCAGATTAGTAGGCATGCCAAGGGTCTGGCTGTTCCAGGAACCCTTCAATAGATCCCTTGACAGCTGCTCTCAAATCATTGCTTCTGCTTGCCAAGGGTGTGGCATGCCCAGGTACACAGCTTCAGGCCCTGGTCTGCAGCTCCCAGATTGGCCCTTTCCTGTGCCACTGTTTGGCCTGCCTGGCCCCTGTGAGGCCTCTCTCTTTTTGCTCCTAGACTGGCATGTTGGCATGTCGTGAGAATGGCCTGCCTAAGGGCCTTTTTTGGGTATACCATG